TGTGGTTCCAGAAGAGAAGGCAAGGATATTGGGTCTTGATGTAAACCTGAAAGTGCGTCTGGCAGCAGAGGGAGGGGCGCCGGGGCTGCCAGTTGCCGAGTAACCAAGGTGGAACTATGCGTGACCCCCGGGTTTATGCAGGTGACAATGGAGAATCGCGACCGCGCCCTGGGGAGGATGGGGCAGAGGAAGAGGAGGAGTGGCCCAGGGAAGCTACAACCTCCTGGAATAAGCAAGACCTGGGAGCACCGAAGAAACAATGAAGAGCTCAAAGGGACTGCCTTCTCCTAGGACATTGATCTCAGCCTCCCCTCCCCTCCACTCGGCGACCTTGCCGCCGGTCCGACCTTCCGAGAGCACACCAGCATTTGTACAAAATGTCAAGGGACTAGGGTCTTCGCTGCAGCAGCATCGGGAAAGAGTGAGATTAGGAAGAGCCCAAGCGCCCATCAGAGGGGACTGGTGAAATACATTCCAAGCGAGCCGCATAACGGAACGCTCTGCAGCCCTAAGAGAGACACACGCTACATGTGAGTCAACCTTGAGGCCATTATGCTAAGTGAAAGAAGCCAGTTGCAAGGACAAATACTGGATGATTCCACTCGTGTGGGTACTTAGAATAGTCAAATTGATGGAGATGGAAAGTAGCATGGTGGTTGGGGAGGGGGGCGGCGGCGGTGATTATTTAACCGGCGTAGAGTTTCAGTGTTACAGGAAGACAAAAGTTCTACGGCTGGATGGTGGCGGCGGCTGTCTATGGGTGACAAGTTGCTTAATGCCACTGAACTGTACACCTAAAAATAGTTAGATGGGAAACTTTCTGTTAGAGATCTTTACCACAGTTTAAAATAAATAAATACTTTCTAAATGTTTCAAACGCGCTAAGTTGTAGAAACACTATTTTCACACAGTTGTCCAGGATACGGAACAAAAAATGGGTATCTAAATGAAAGAAAAAACAGAGAGAGCTCAAGATCTCTATATGCTAATATGAAAAGGTCTCCAGTAGGATCCTTAGTAAGATTTATAAAGTAAAAACAACAAAAACCAGAAAAGCGTATATAGAATGCTACCTTTGTGTAAGAAAAGCGGGGGGGGGGGGGATGCCCTGAATATATGTTCGTATTTGCAAACCCTGGGGGATGCATAAGGAACTCAGGAAAGTGGTCACCTGAAGGGATGATCATAGAGCAGGGGAGTGGGGGGCACCAGGCAGGTGGGAGCAGACCCTCTCCACCTATTTGTACAATGTTTTGATGTTTTAATCATATGAATAAATTACCTAGTCTGTTTTTCTATATGGTTGCCCCTGGAAAGGGGGGACAGAAGGTGCCAGAGGGCGAGGTGGGCCACCACGGTTTTCACCTTGAACCTGGAGTCTGTATTTGCAATACTTTTATAAAACGGGGTGGGGGGTGGGGGGGTGGCGGGAATGAGATCAAAATTTTAAGGGGCCAGTAAACATACGAAAAGATGCTCCATCTCACTAGTCGTCAGAGGAATGCAAATTAAAACCACAGTGAGATGCCATTTCACACCCAACAGGCTGGAAGAAATTTAAGTGGGACAGACCCAAGTGTGGCAAGAATGTGGAGGCAGGGGGGACGCACCCACAGTCTGTGGGGGTTGAGCTCGCACAGCCCTGGAGGAAGGCTCAGAAGAGCTTCCTTGCACCAGGACTCCCCCTCCCTCGGAACACACCCGAGAAACTCTTGCCCGGGAGCCCAAGGAGACATGGATGGGAACGCTCACCCCAGCATGGCCGGCAACTGCCAGAAGCTGGAGAAGAGCTAACTGTCCATCAACAGGAGAACCAATAAATGGCTTGCAGTTTATTCACCCAATGGAATATTACATAGCAATTAACCAGATGAACTAGAGTCACATGTGTCAATGTGGGGAAATCTCAAAAATGGTGCAGAACGAAAACTGTGCAGAAAGATTTTAATATATGGGGTTATAAAAACGGGAGTAATACCCTGTATCATTCGTGACTATGGCCCTATGGATTAATAGGAAAAGTATAAAAACAGGCTCCTGAAATACATACCAATTTCTGATGAGTATTTGCCTCTGAAGAGGGAGGGAGAGGAAAGGGATCAGGGAGAAGACCCAGAGGGCTTCAGCTACAGGCATAAGAGGCTTTAAAAATGACAAGGTCTGGGGGTGCCTGGGTGACTCGGTCGGTTGATCATCCACCTCTTGGTTTTGGCTCAGGTCATGATCTCAGGGTGGTGGGATGTGGGACTGAGCCCCGCATCAGGCTCTGTGCTCAGGGCAGAGTCGGCCGGAGATTGTCTCCCTCTCCCTCCCCCTCTGCTCCTCCCCCTGCCTGCACACGAGCTCTCTCTCTCTCTCTCTCTCATTAAGGTAAATGAATAAAATCTTTTTTAAAAAATGACAAGTTCTGAAATGAACACGGCAAAAAGGATTTGACAGAGCTCTCTTCTGTGTAGAGTTGAAATATGTCTTAATAATAACAACAACAACAAAAAACCAATAAACTGGGCTTGGAAGGTGGGACAGGTAGAGCAGAAGCATAGGCTTGGGGGAGTTGGGGGGCACCCAGCCATATAAACAGAGGGAGGCCACTTGATCGGCCTCCTACCCTGGCACCGCCCCCCGCCACCAGTCTGGGTGGGTAAGTGGCCCCTACGTACATTCCTGGGGTCACTATAGCTGGGGGTATGGGCTCTGAGCTTCCCTAAGGTAGAATGGGAGGTGAGAGCTGTCTAAGCCCTTCACTGGGTCTCCCCATGCCCCGCATGGAAGAAGAGATAGAGAAAGGGCTCATGGGAGGGAACATGCCCAGACCCCGGGGCCTGGGCAGCAGCACATAACCCCAAGATTCCTACGCTGAAGCAGAGGTCAGAGATGGTGGGCTGGAATGGGGTGCCCCACACATTGGGGACCCAGTAGCCTGGGCCTCCCCAGGCCCTGCAGACTCAGGAAAGAATTCCCAGAACGTATCAGGGCTTGGAATGGCCTCAGAAGATGGCTAGAGCTGAAATCACAAACGAGTACCCAGTCAGGGCTGATAGGCAGGCTGGGATCTTCACTGGGTTTTGCCAGCTCAGCCTGGGGGCCTCGAAGGTCAGCATGCGAGGACACCCAACTATAGTGGGAGAGAGGGAGAAGCCAGAGTTCCCAGCAATGGCTGGGCCCGTCCCAGGATGGCAGGACAGCACTCGGGGGGCCTCAGGACACGGCCATCTCTGACAACATCTAGCCCACTTCTAACACGCTGCCATAGCCCCACGCCCTTGCTGGGCCCTCCTTCCGGTGCCAGGGTGTTTACAGGAGAGAACCAGGACTCCCAGGGGGGAGGCCAAGCTCTGCTTTTCTCTTCTCCTGTCTCAAAATGAAGAATTTGGAGGCCATGTCTCTTGTCTCAAGTTCTAACACTCCAACTGTACCCACCAGCCGCTGGGCGGCACAGAGACCTGGTCCTGTCCCAGAAGGTCAGCTCTTCTCAGGTCCAAATAGGGCCCCAGGGAGTTCAGAGGGGCCTCTGCCTGCCTCATCAAGACACCACAGGCCAGGATCTGGGGCAGAGAGGGCAGGGAGGAGGCTGGAGGCTGAGTCCCCTCTTCCACATCTCTGAGCTGGCTGAGAGCTCTCCGAGAGGGACCACGGGTCAACCCCCTGATCTTGGGGAGGGCCCCACTCACAGGCTTTGGAAAAATGGAGAGGAAGAGAAAGAAGAGAGTGGGAAGGAGCAACGGGAGAGGAGGATGAGAAGTCAAAGGAGCATTTGTTCTACTAAGTGGCTTTTCTGTTGTCAAAAATTGGCCCCAAACTCTGTCCACTGGAACTCTAGGGCAAATCTTCCTCTGCCACACCCACCTCCCTGTCACCACCTGCCACACCACAAAGCTGACTGCACACCCCTTCCCTTTTCAGCCCCAGTCCACTCTCTGCCCTGGCTCAGCCCACCCTGGGGACCCTCACCCTTACTGACTTCTTCCCAAGAATGTACCGAAATCCCCCAGCTAGAGTGGAAATCTGCCCCTCCATCAGCGGCTTCAAAGCTCTCCTACTTCGAGAGAGGCCCAGGCCTGGTCTCCGCCTTCAGCACCCAGGGGGCAGGCATGGTCAGAGCTGGGCCTCCAAGCAGGAGGCCCGCACGAGCACCCTGAAACCCCTAAAGCCCGGGCCCAATGCCTTGGAGGCTGGATTCAACTGAGGGACTCTGGATGGGTCACATCAATGGGAACTAGAGCAGCCAGGCCTGAGACAGGAGGCAGGGGCGGGAGGAAGCCTGAGGAGGGGCTGACGCCTGCGTTTATTCCTCAGATGTATACCAGGCCCCCACTACGTGGCAGACAGCACAAATAAAACAGTGAACAAAGCAACCAGAATCCCTGCCCCGGTGGAGGAAGGGGGTAGGGGATGAGGTGCGAGAGGCAGCGAGGCCCGACAGTACAGGGCCGAGGGGTCTACGGAGGTAAGGGAAGTCCAGTGCCAGAGGCTGTTCCCACAGATCCAGGCACGGCCCGACCTAAGACCCCCACACAAAGCCCCACACAGAGGCCCGTGACAGAAGCAGAACAGCCGGCGTGGGGCCCCTCTGCGGGCTGGGAGGCCCCCCCCACCCCCATCTCCTCCACCCTCCCATGGACGGGCAAGGCCCCGGCAGACAGACGGCCAGGGATGCCACAGGATTATCTTAAACCCCACTTCCCTCCCAGCATCCCCCTCGAGGACAATCCCAGCTAATCTCTCCCCAGACGAGCAGCCACATGGGCAGACAAGGTGGAAGCAGCCCGGCGTGTTCCTGCCTGCTCCCACCCTGCCCACCGCACCCAGGATCTGTCTGATTGTCTGCCTCAGCCTCCAGGTCATCACAACAGTAACACCTTAACCCCGGCTGGGCACGGTGACAGCAGGACAGCATTTAATTCCCTCAGCGCCCCTGGGCTTGTGGGATGGGGCTGAGGAGCCCACTGACCACAGAGGACACGGAGGCCCCACGAGCCAAGGCCCTTGCCCAAGGTCACTCAGGTTGGGGCTCCACAAACTCCCCTAGGGCCGAAGTCATCCACACAGCCCGGTCCGGGGCTGGGAACACAGTGGGGGTCAGGAGAAGGGACCCGGAGATCATGGGTTCCAATCCCCTCACCACGCAGATGAAGAGACGAAAGCACAAGGAAGAGCCCTCACCCCGGGCCTCTGAAAGCCTGAGGAAATTCTCCTTCCCTCCCCTGCTCCCTCAGAAAATGCTCTGTCATGCAGACAAAGGCGGCCTTGTGGCTGGTGGGGAGGTGGGGGGAGAACGGCTCCCAGCCAGAAGTGGGTGCGCCCCTGAGAAATGGGGTGCGGTCCCCCAGAAAATGAACGCAGAGGCCATCTGTGCCAAGATGGCAGTGCGAGCTGATGGGGGCTTCCACAGAGAGCAGTGCGAGGGCTGCAGGGCAGCGCCTCGTCTAACCCGGCCCGTGGGCGCTGGACGGGGTTGAATGAGTTCTGTCCCAGGCCCAGGACTCAGCAGCCTGGGAGGAAGGCTGGTGTGGGGATGGAGGTCTTACCTCGGAACTTCTTAGGCGGGTTGTCCAGGTCCCCCGCCGCGGGCTCCACCACACAGCGGTCATCCACCAACCTGAGGGACAAGGCAGCCCAGTCAGTGCGAGAGAAGAGACCATCTCCCCAGGCGTCCCTCCCTTGGGGCAAGGGATTTGGGGCACCAGGGAGGCCTCCAAAAAAACCCCTCTCCATTGCTGTCAAGCTCCCCCCAACCCATCAAGTCTTTCCCTTTCCTGGCACCACTGTTAAAAGGGATGGGGGAGCACAGAGATACACCCAGCCCACCCCCAACCACTGCCCACTGCCGGATGGAGCTAGAGCTGTCCTATGAGGGCGTCTGCCTCCAGTCTGGGCTGCCACACGCTGCGGATATAATTCTCAGGAAAGCCCTGAGACCCTGTTGCCCAGACCTGAAAGGGCAGTGGGCAATGGAGGAAGGAAAGGGAAGAGTACTGAGAGAGACAGAGAAAGTCAGAGAGACTCAGGGTAGAAGGGAGAAACAGAGAGAGCAGAATATAAAAGATACATAGAAAAATAAGTAGGATACAAACAGAGGCACAGAGAGACTAGAGACAGATGGACAGACGGGAGAAGCTTATGAAACACCAAACTAGGGGGACCATCCTTTGGTCTCAAAGCCAGGACAATGAACCTTGCACCTTCTCAACCTCAGCCAGGCCCCATTCTATACCCTCCTTTTTGGCTTACCCTAGGACCCAAAATCCCCCCTCTTAAGCCCCAACTGGAATTAATCCTGAATCTCTGGAGGACATCCAC